ATAGGTCCATGATGGTCCCATGCATGCTTGTTGGACCTCTAGGAAGCACCCACACAAGCGGGCGGGTGGGGATTCAATGAGGACCCATCACAAACCTCATAGGCTCATGATGGTCCCAAAACCATCAACAATAGAGTTAAAATCAATGAACAAATACTCTTGCGAGAGATGAGGCATGAGAGTTAGAATCAACAAACAAATGGTCTTGAAACCATCACAGACCTAATACGTCCATGATGATCTTGAGACCATTATGGGCCTATCTTGGGATCGTCACAAGTCTGGTGGGCCCATGACGGGTCTTCATGGGGTTCTTTTGGATAAAAAAATGCAACAAGAAAAACGGGGATGCACATAAATTTGAAGACATATGAGTATTTTACCAATTATAAAATTTTTGATAATTATCCTTATTTTGTTTTAGTTTTTAGTCAAGTGGTGATAACCAAATGGAAGTCGAGAACCCGACCTACGTAAATTATATCAATCAAAATCTTTTGTCAAAGTTCTAATGTTAGATTGGATTGAATTCTAGTGGTTGCACTATCAAGAAGGTTCTTAGCCGGCTTTAAAAATTGGTCTATGTCTATTACAAATTGAATATTCAAAAGTGGTAGATAAGATGGAAATCGATGATCGTGACCTCGCAAACTTGGATCATGTGTTTATAAAATATCTTGATGAGGAATGCTTTATGGAAATGAAAGAGCCACTTCTTGATAGGAGGGCACTGCAAAAAATAAATATGTGCCCCATTGGGAATCAACCTTTAGAAGGAGGTGAACAAGAACAAAGAATTTAACTTGGGCTCGAGTGGATAGTAGTTGATGTCAAGCAATGTTACATCTCGAATTCAATTCATACCACTTAACTACAGTTAAAAAAAAAAAAAAAACAAAAAAAAGAAAGGTGAACAAGAACAGAGAAGGCCACGATTTGAGCAACTAGCAAGAGATGTGTGAGGGGGCATACAATGTGGTGCAGAGGAAGATGCAAAAGAAGATGCAGGGGAGGATGCAAGAGAAGATGATAATGATGCATCTTTTGATGCCATGATACAAATGATGGTGGTGAAATGTGGGAGCTATTCCAAAGCCCAAGTAGCATTGCCGGGTGAGACTAATTTGGAAACTTTGGGTTGGGATGGGAAACCTGGTTAAGGGTTTAACTAGGTTCTCCAACCAAATCCTTCTTCAATTTGCTACATATATACTCGAGATGGAGGGGGTTCCCATGTTTCCCAGCGGACCTACTCATCACGGTGGTGCTTAGAATGATCGGGTCACATCGTCGTTCATTTTGGCATTAGATATTGAATTTGGATTTTTTTATTTATACCTCTAGAATTGTAGTGTTTCTATAGAAGTCATTCTTCTTGTTTATTCTATCTTGTTCTGTAGAATTAATGCGTGAAGATAGATAACGAACCCTCTTGAAAATTTGTATCGAAATACATGTAATAATGGATAATTTTTCATAAACTGTAACAATCATAAACTCTCAAAAAAAAAAAAAACTATTAATACATGACAATTCGTTTGAACATGATTGTCCTTAGGGACCATCGTTACTTTAAAAAGCTTTTGTTTTAAAAGCTTTGTGTTTCCTTGCTCTTGCCACATCCACACTAAAGGACGCGGGCTTTAGGTGTTTAAAGCGTAAACTAACGCTCACACCTGTAACGTAATAAAAGCTTTAGGTGTTTAAAACGTAAACTAACGCTCACACCTATAACGTAATAAAAGAATAAAATAATATGTTAGTAGAATTTAAATTCAGAGAGGTGAAGACTCTTACCTTAAAAAACTTATGAGATTTTTCTCTCTGGTCGAAACATAGTGAACTCCTCTCTCGAGCCGAATTTTCATCGGAAGCTCCCTCTCAAATATTTGTGTGTAAGTGACATCATCTTCTTGAAAAATAGTCTGTTTTTAATAAATAGTGATATTTCCGTCCAGGATTTTTATTTTATAAGTTTTGTATGTAAGTGACCTCATTGTCTCGAAAAATAATCCATTCTTTTTAAAAATGAAATGAAATAATTATTTATGCTTATTATCATGAATTTAGGCGCGATAAATTTTATGCGCACGTGACCTCATTATCTTGAAAAATAATATTTTTAATAAAAATTATGATATTTTATCTATGTTATAAATTTTGAATGCTGTAAATTATGAAAAATAAATTTATTTATTTTTCTTGTCTATTGTTAGAAATAAATGTGATATTTATGCTTTTAGTAAAATTGTGATATTTCTTTATACTGTTTTGAATATTTAGACATTGTAAAATTCATGTGCAAATGACTGCCTTATTATTTAAAAATTGACATTTTTGCAATTGATTATAGTATTGTTGTGAAATGTTTATTTGTGGATTGATATCCCATAAATTGTCTTAATTCCGTATTTTTTAATTTCTATAAGAGTTTTTCTATACATATTAGATTGGCAATTATGCTATAATGTCTTACGAATTGCTACCTTTCTAAAATTGAGCCCAAAATATTTGATTGGTTATTTTTTAAATGTTATTGAAAGTGACTGTTATTAATGGTATCAGTGAGATTCATATTAATGATTTCAGTGATATGTCGAGTACATGATATTTGCTGCTTTCGAATGTTTGAAGAGATTTAGAAATAATTTAAATTTGCAAGTGGACTCATTCGGTTCGCCGGTGAGGTATAAGTGGACCTACCAGGGACGCCGATAGGGATTAAGTGAACTCATCCGGTACGCCGGTGAAGCATGAGTGGACCTGCAGGGATTAAATGGACCTATTTGGGACGCCGATAGGGATTAAGTAGACCCATCAGGACGCTGATGGGGTATATAGGTGACCTACTTGGGACGCCAGTAGGGTATTTTGTGAAATCCTTTGAATTATGCATTGCCGTTAAAGTGTTATGTGCATTTCAATTATTCGGATTATACTTAATTATGCATTTATTGAAAGTCAAATTGTTGATGCATTTCTGTTAATAAATCGTCTTTTTGAAAATATTGATATGTTTCAACCATGATTATTTTTAGGATTATGATGATCACTTACTGAGTAGCCAAACTCATCAAACTATGGTAAACATTTTTTCAGGATAACTGCAGATTCATTTTGAGTGCTAGTCAAGATCAACCTTGGAAGATACTATTGTTGTGCTAGTTTTTTTTATTTACTTTGTAAGACCTCGCCACTGTAAATTTGTCCTATCAATAGATGTATATATGTTTTGTCTGTCACATCTCAGGAATAACAGTATTGTAAATTATTGGGGTCTAACATAAACCCAAGTAAAATCATATTTTAAGTTTATGTCAATTTTTCCATAGCTACTTGAGCCAAATCGTCTTGTCTCGAAACACGACTATTTTTGTGGTGACTGAGTTGGTTATTGGAAAATCATCTTTTATATCCAGGCTTGTGTTGGAAAGTAAAGTTGCACTCAAAGGCTTGCTACAAAAATGCAGTTTGGTGTTGGAACATTTACAACGGTTTGAAAACTGACCCTGATCATAAAATTTGAAGCCAAAAAATGGTGTTGATCCAATAGATTGCAGAACTCTTGAAAATGAATGGTCTAGGTACTATATTACAAGAAAGTGAGGTTTGTATAAAGTCACAACCTTAAACATTCATTCTAAAGTGCATCTCAAAATATCATTAAAAGATGTATTTTCGATGCTAAAACTTTTCTTATAGCCTAAAAATATATTTTTCACCCCTATAATGAAATTGAAAGCTAAAAAAATAGTGCAAATCTAACATATCTAAGAATACTTGAAAATCGAGGTCAAAATGATCAATTGAAAATTTTCTAGTAACGAAACAACATTTTTCAATGGGTTTTTTAGTTACACCTCACTTCTTGGTATAAAGTCGATACGAACTTTTTCCATTACCAGCTAGCTTGTCTCTAGGGTCTTTTTTATTTTTCAAATTTATAATTATTAATTCGAGGAAAGTGGGTTTTCTTGAAGCCATAATTTAAAAGGGATTTTGGGATGCGACTTTACTTTGGGTCGCAAAAACCTACACTTTTTATAAACTTTTTATCTTATTTTTATTCTGAGTTCACATTCATGTTGGGAGAAGTGTTTTATGCATGAGGGAATGTAGTTCTACACTAGCTTCCAGCACTGCGTCAAACATTGAAAAAAAATGATATTTCAAGAAAAGGAAATGGGTTATTTAAGGTTGCAACCATTGCAATATGACTGTAGTGATGTACAGATTAATGAGGTTTTTATAGGACTTAGGTTTTATGAAAACAAAATAAATCTTCACCTTAAATATTCGTTCAGAAAGTACTTTCGGCAACGGAAATCTTTGTGATGACTCTAAAATAAATTCCCAATACCGGCAATAAATTTTGAAACTAAAAAATTAATACAGATTTTGTAGATTTGTGAACACTTATTTTTAAAACAAAATAGATGGTTTAAATAATTTATTATAATATATATATTATTTTTACAGTTTTAAATTCTAATTTTTATTCACAACCAAAATATTCAAGTTGATATGACAGATGTTAAGATTTTCCAATGAGTTGCAACGTATTGACACTTTTTCAAAAGATGTGTAAAATCTATATTGTCCAATTAAAATAGAAGCCGTAGAGTATCAAAGCTTTATTTCTATAAACAAGATTGCAACCTTATACAAAATGGCACCCTTAAAAAAAAAAAAAAAAAAAAACATTAGACATTAAAAATTTGGTGGGCCCACCAAGGCTTAATGGGTTACAATAAGAATATATATTTTTCATTTTATTTGAAATTTTTATTTTATTTTATTTTTAGATTTGTATTTATGGTGGTTGAGATATTCGATCATTAAATATGTGAATCCAGATTCCACCCCAATACTCGTGAAAATTCAAGGGTAAATGGACGCATCAAATCATTATGCTTTATGTTTAATTTTGTATTTAATTTTGAGACAGAAGGAACGTACACTCACCGAAATTTGGGGGTTAGGGCAAAGGAAAAGGCCACCAAACTTTAAAAGGAAGTGCGCAGCAGGAATTAGTCAGAAACGGATCCTTAGTGGTAGGACTCTTCTCTTTCTAAACCAGACTTCTACTCTCTCTCTCTCTCCCCCTCCATTTGCAAACATATTTCAGTCTCTGTCTCTGTGTTACATAAAAGCTAGGGCATCAAGCGTAGCTTGGTGAGACGAAAATCTGTCGAGGAACCTCCCCAAAGGTACTTTACTCCATCTCTCTCTAACTTCCTCTAAAGTAACTTTTTTCTGTCACGCTTTCTCTCTACAGTTCTTGCTCACTGGAAGAACGTCAAAGGTTCTTGTATCGCCTTCTGTTTCTCTCTCTTCTCAGTCCTTTCTCATGAAACCTACTATTGCTCCCCCTTTTCTTGTTGTTCATCTAATTTGAATCCATATTTGGACGATTTACCAGTTACCACTTATAGTTTGATCTAAAACACGTAGCATTCAACTTGATTATAGTCCATAGATTTTTCTTGGCATCATATTTATGCTTTTTGAAGAAATGGGCGAATGTTATACTGAATATTTGATTTTATTTGTTGTTCTGTAATTAACTGGTGAATCATATCATCTTTCTTTAAGAACAGGCGGTGGTTGGATTGGTAGACGCAGATTAGGTTTTTCTTTTCTGGGTAATCATATTTGGGTTTTATTATTGCCATCAGGGTTCGATATGGCTGGTGCACCTGGTAATGTGAATTTTGGGAGTCGCAATAGCGTTCGTGTTGTGGTTATTGGAGACCCTGGAACTGGTAAGAGTAGCTTGATTGCTTCAGTGGCCACTGAATCGTTTCCAGAATCGGTCCCACCCATGTTGCCTCCTACTCGACTTCCTGTTGATTTCTACCCCGATCGTGTGCCCCTTGTCATCATCGATACATCATCCAGGTATATATTTTTTTCCAATTTATGGATTTTTTTTTGTGAATAAGGGGCTTTTTATTATGGAACATTTTGTTAAATTGCTCTCTAAAGAGAGTTGATTTTTCTTAGAAATGTGAGTTCTTGGTGAATCTGTTATTAGGATAGTATGATGTTATGGCTACATTGTTTGTCATGTAAGTTTTGTCTTAGACGTACATCTGTCTCTCCTTTTATATATATATTTGTTGAGTTCTTTGGTTTGTATGGAACATTGATTGGTTTATGTTATGTTTTATACTTTGTAGTCGCAGAAGAACCCCTGCCACTTTTTGGGTGTCCAAGAAATTAGGAATTATCGAATTTGGATAGAAATGCAAGAAATATAATTGATGGTTTGATACTTACAGAGGGTTTTGAGTGCTTCACGAGAGAATATAATGGTCTGTATCTCTAGCTGATTGTTTTGCTTTTCTTCTTTGGGGTTTTCTTTTTACCAGTGATTTAATTTTAATGCACTTTCACACTTATGTAGTCTCATAGCAACTTTGGACTCTCAGTCCTTGGGCTCTTCAAAATTTAGGACTATTTAAATATACCCCAAACATGGTAAGCTATTTCACGAAAACAAATCACTTGATTCAATGATTTCGAAGATTTCTAGATAAAAGTATAAAATCCTATGTGACAGTTACGTGGGTTCCATGCAATTATATTTTACAGAACTGTAATTAATGAAGGGAACTATGTCATTAGCTTTCATAGATATGATGTTTTATACCTTGTGTAGACCTGAAGATCGGAGTAGGCTTGCATCAGAGTGCAGATTGGCAGATGCAGTTGTGTTGACTTATGCATGTGACGAGCCCTCTACACTGGATCGTCTTTCCACCTTCTGGCTTCCGGAACTTCGTAGCTTAGATGTGAGTTTTCTTGGGTTCCCTTAAGAATGCATTAGAATTAATAAAGATTTCTCTTCATCTGTTTATTTATTTTCATTCCCCTCATCTGCTTTATTTTTCTTCCTATTTTTATGAAAGCATTTAAATTATAAACACATTGGTATTTATACCTTTTGAACAGGTGAATGTCCCGGTGATTGTGGTTGGTTGCAAATTGGACCTCCGTGATGACCAACAGTTGAGTCTTGAGGAAGTAATGTCACCAATCATGCAACAGTTTCGTGAGATCGAGACTTGTATAGAGTGTTCTGCTCTGAGGCAAATCCAGGTTGCATTCTGTCAGCTACATATCGTGAATCCCCTATTCTGCTTATTTCTAAGCCATTATTTCTGGTTCCCTAATTTTTAGTTGACTGGAAAACCAGAACTCCCCTGGGCTTCTCATTAATTATAGACATACGCTGTAGCCGGTTTCAATTCTTAGCATTGCGTGTAGGCTTTCCTTGTTTATGTTATTGCTATAACTATCTACATCTTGAAAGTTTCTCTGACAATGAAAGTTGTTATCCTTCCGTAGGTCCCTGAAGTATTCTATTATGCTCAAAAAGCAGTGCTACACCCAACTGCCCCATTATTTGATCAGGAAACACAGACTCTAAAGCCACGGTGTGTGAGGGCTCTGAAAAGAATATTCATTCTTTGTGACCGGGACAGGGATGGTGCTCTAAGTGACCAAGAGTTGAATGATTTTCAGGTTATTCTCTCCTTTGGCTTCTGAGGTTATGTTGTTCCTTCCATAGATTGTCTGGCATATTAAGCTAATTATGCCGTATTTACTGGATTTCATATCATGTACAGGTTAGATGTTTTAATGCTCCCCTGCAACCATCTGAGATAGTAGGCGTGAAGAAGGTTGTCCAAGAGAAGCTGCCGGAAGGGGTTAATGACCGAGGTCTCACTTTGACTGGATTTCTTTTCCTCCATGCCCTTTTTATAGAAAAGGGGAGGCTTGAAACAACGTGGACTGTTTTGAGGAAGTTTGGCTATAATAATGAGATTAAGCTCAGGGATGATCTTCTTCCTGTTGCTCACTTCAAAAAGTCCCCTGATCAGGTATGCTTGCCATTTAGGTATTTTCTTGTTGTCTTTTGTCCTTAGCAGGATGTTGGTCCATTCGAGTTGCCTGCATAGAATTTTTTGGGTAAACATATGTTCAAATTCATGCATAGTATAGAGAAGGATACATTTTGATCATACATTGTATGATATGTTAAATGGCATGTGATCTGACACGTTCCAGAAATGGATGTTTTGAATTATTGTGGAATGGTTATAGGCATTCACGAATTCATATTTGAAAATGAAAGCTGTGTTTTATGTTATCCCTGTGATTCCCCAAATTTGTTAAGGACTTTGATATTCTTAAATAACTCACTGGTTGTTTTGAGCTATTAGTCTAAGCATGTACGTTATGTGAACTTGAATCTGTTCTCTAGGTGGCATCCTTGTCGAATCTCTTATGTTTCCTCTCTCTCTCTCTCTCTCTCTTTCACCTATACTGTCCTCTCTTCTCTTTGTCCAAGGCTTTCCCTAGGTAAATTTTAATGTTAGTACTTTGAATTCCTGGAATGGTTGTGGAGACTTACAATCTTCTCTTGTTATGTGCTGTAGAGTGTGGAGCTGACGAATGACGCCTTTGATTACTTGAACGCGATTTTTTCAATGTTTGACATTGATAGCGTATGTATTAGTCTCTATTGCATGACCTTTGGGATGTTCACATCATCTTCTCACTCTTTGCCATAATTGTACTTGCTGAAAGACCATTTGCCTGAAAGTTTCCGTAGTTTCCCATGCTTGTGAATGTCTCAGATATTTTAAATATCCCTGCAAAAGCCTTCTGGAAATGTTTACCTTGCCATTTAACCTGAGAATTTTCTAAAATATTTTCATGAGTTTGGGTCTCCCTTTAGGTAAGTAAGAGGTTAGAGTTTATTGAAATTCTCATGGCGGTACTTGTGATGGCTAGGATGGGGCACTTCGACCTGCTGAACTTGATGATCTTTTTTCAACTGCACCTGAGAAGTGAGTGTTTATCGATTACTATGCGTGGATAATTATTGTCATGCTTCCTGCATAATCATGTGTTCCAGTACTCCAATTACTTGCATGTACCTGCATGGTTCCTCTTTTAAGAGTTCTGAGTTATTCTATCTGAGCAAGCTAGCACGTACTGCATATTACATTTGATACAAGTGACGTGCATAACAAACTTGACATTGTCAGATTGCTGAGATCTCGTTCTATATTATCCTGGCTTGATTGGGGGTGGGAGTGAATATTCCCTTTGCTGGCTATTGTTCTTCTTAATTTCTTTTTTAGGATTCTTTTACGTAGTTTCGAGACTGATGTTACTGCCTGCATGTACTTTTTAGCTAAAACTAGATGTATATGTTATTTCAAAAAGCGCTAGGCGGCACCTAGGCGGTCGGGGGAGTCCAGGTCGCCCAGCACCTAGGCAGGCGCCCAGAACTTGGGCGGCCCAGTAGAAAAATTTGGTTTTGTGGGTTTTCTCTGTCTAAAATAGCCTCTAATGGGTTTTAGGTTTCAAATGAACCTAAAACCTATAATTTTACCCCTTTAGTATTAAAAAAATGACTCAAAAATACCCTCAAGGAGCCGCACTTCTGCCCTTGGGTGGCCTCCTAGGCGGGGTCAAGCGGGTGCCTAGGGATATCCGCCTAGGTAGGCGCTCAGGCATTGGGCTGTCCGCTTTTTGAAACACTGGTTATTTCGTTCCCTTAGTACATGAGTAGGTAATTACCAGAAGAAAAGAGTTTAAATGCAGAAATTCTAGTCATAAATATGATGCGGCATAATATTTAGTCGTAACAAGCAGCTGGAAACTGTCCTTCAAGTCCCTCTTGCAAGCGTGTTGATTAGACAATTAGAAGTTTCATGGGAATGATATTGGCATTTAGCTTGGTGGTTGAGGCAATCCTGTTTTATTCTGCCAAATTGGGACTTTTGACTTTCATTTGTGGCAGGCTTAAATCTTGTCTTATTTCTTCATCTTGAGTTCTAAATGTCATCTGTACAAAAATGTGCAAGCAGGGATGGGACTTTTTAGGAAGGGAAGGGAAGGAAAAGATTAGTAATTGGTAGGCATAAGGCAATGTCAAAAGTTAAAAAACAAAAAAAACAAAAGAAAACAATTCATTGTGGGTAGCAAATATTTTGAATAAGAGAAATAATTGGTCCAAACTTACCAGGGAGAAGTCCATGTCAAAACAAACGACCCTCCTGTGGTTGGTTGTTTGGGAAAATCTCTTTGTTGACTTTTCCTGGATATGCTATTGTAATCCTCTGCGGTGTTGGACTCTTGGCTTTGCTCTACTATGCTACTAAAGGAGATGGCAACTCTGAATCTGCGATGGATTCATTTGCTGCAAATTTGTGCAATAGAGACAGCTCATGTATGGATTCTCAAAAAACTGTTTTCCAGGATCTTATTATTATTATTTTTAATTTTTAAGAACACTGTTTTCAAGAATTGTAGAACTTGCACTATTTAGTCATGTTCAGAACTCTTCTCAGTATACCTCACAACTTGAGAGGCTATGTAATGACATTTTGATGAACATATGTTTTCATGGGTATTCCTGGTAGACTACTGCATTTCTTGATAAACAGGCTCGGTTGTATTTTTATAGGTTTTTGTCCATTGCTTTACATTACTGGGATGGATAATGCCATAATATTCATACATTATGGAGGGAAGGGTTATAATTTTGGTGATAGCATGTTGATGCCCAAAACCGTCTGCTACAGCTATAATAATAATATAATCCTGCATACACTAGTGACATCTCGTCAATTGTGCACTACCCTGGAATATCTACAGTATCAACTAAAATTTGCTTTGGTTTGTCCTTTCTTAATTGTGTTTGGTCAGCCCATGGAGTGAAGGAGTTTACAGGGACGCTGTGGAAAAGAATGTGCTAGGAGGATTGCCCTTGAATGGCTTCTTATCAGAGGTTTGATTTTTCTTATATTGTACTTCATGCATGTAATCCTTTTGCCTTGGAAGGTATTTGTTCTTCATGTGAGTGTGTACACATTATAATTTGTTTGCTACTCCCATATTGAACTTGTCTTTCATTTTCTGAAATGCTGGACATGCTGTCAATCTTTTCGGATTTTGGTAGTGCATGGGCGGTTACTTTTTCGATTATTTGTGGCATGTTGATATTGTCAAAATCTCTTATCGTTATTGTAGTATATCATTACCAAATGCTGAAAGATACCAGCTATCTTATCTTTTGGTATTGTTTAACATTATGTTTCTCTGTTCTTTCTTATGTTCCTCTCTTTTTTTGTTTCAGATTTTAGATCAAGGTTATATGTTTCAAGTTAAGTCTGAAAATGTTTAATATCTAATGGGTTTCACCAATCTATAAATACATAAGAAGAAGGGATGTTTTGATTAATTTCTTTAATAAGATTATTTTCATTCTTTGCCATGGGAAGTTGTTTCATACACATGATTTAAGGTTTAATCATTGATACCGTGGTTATTCAAATTGTTAATTTGCAAGTGTTAGCATCCAACATTAACAAGGGTCAAAAATGCCAACCCTAAAGTTGGCCTTTTAGACATGTCACCTCCAAATGTATCTTCGATGGGGTGGAAGGTGTTTTGAGTAATTTTATCAGCTTGGTGTTGGGACTTGGCCCCTGCTCGAGCCAAGTAACTCGAGCGACTCACTTGAGTCATGTATGATGAGCCCAAAAAGGCCTAAAAAATTCAATAAAAAAATTTAAAAAACAGAAAAAATAAAAGGCAAAATAAGTTACAAACAGCATTAAAAATCTTTGACAGATGGGAAAAAGTATGTAGAAGCTGGAATAAGAAAAAAGCTGATTTATAGCTTGAAACAATTCGGGAAAATCCAAAAAAGGGAAAAATAGAAAAAGAGAGCATGTAACAAGAAAAATTCACCAATCATTATAAAAACATTAAAAATTACATGGAACATATTTATCCATCATTTCTTAGTCATTTAGTAACATATATACTTTTTAATGCACTCGAGTGTGTACCTTGAACTTGCTTCAGCAGGGTCCTGAGGCCAAGTAACTCGGCCGACTCGGAGTCGCCTTGGCCAAATTTTGGAACCATGGTTTTAAGTGACATTATGGATTTCCATAGTAAATTTCTTTTAAAACAGGTTGAGCAAAAGTTCCTTACTTTCTAAAGTGGTTGACATGCATGTTGTGTCTTGGCATGGTGACATATGCCAAGAACCTTGGACATGCTTGTCATGACAACCTAGCAACATAGAAGGAAATTAAAAAAATAAAAAACAAAAATAAAAATAAAAAGGACGGTATGCAATTTTGAAGTTGTGTTTTTTATGGAATTCTACCTGTTCATGTGTCTATCTCTTCGACCTCACCTACCTGATTCTTTCTGGTTGTCAGAGTCACTAGCCCCACCTCTTTTAACATTTCATTAAATTAATTTTTTTTATTCCACTCCTCTTATTTGGTGTTATTTTGGCATCATTTCCACTGCCTCTACTGCCAACTATTACCTGGTGAGATTACGTGTGAGCAACGAGCTTTGCCTATGGTATTGGGTTCATTTTTCCTAGAAGTTTGGAATGATCATATAGCCCTGAGCCACTCTGTCTTGAGTTGGATGCCTGAAGATTGTTGGATATTGTATACACGAGGTTCTGAGCTGTTGAATGTTGGTTGGGCTATCTTGATAAACGGTCGTGAGAGTTGATATTTTGAGTTGTACTTTTGCACATTTTAGTAAGAAATTATTTTGTAACTCTAAAATGTAAAGTTCTGATTCTAACATTAGATGATTCAAATTTCTAGGGGATTTCGATGAATGAAGTTTATTGAAATTCCCGATGTCAACCGGAAAAAAGAAAAGAAAAGGGAATTGTGATCAGCATCCTATCATTTACCATGTAGGCACATGTGGAGATCATAGTTTTTTACTTGTTTTTTAACTACAGATGAACATCAGTGTTGTCGGAGGTTTATACGACTTTGGTTTAAGTTCTGTAATGCTCTTTGCAAAAGGAGATGAGGATCAGGCCTTCATGGTTCCTGATGAGTCCCTTAATGTCAGAGGGGCCAGGGTTGCCAAGCGAGCACCCATAGAAGTTGAGTTTGAGGAGACCAGGTTTGGGAGCTCTCCAAACTGCAGCTCGGGATATGCAAGGTTGGCGGGAGAACAGCAGGTCCTGCCAATTGAGGATGAAGGCCGAGTGGTAAACACCCTTGAAGCGCTTGTGATTCATCACCCAGAAGGTTACAAGGGATTTGATTTTATCAAACAGCTTCATCACAGAGGTACTCTTGCCTCGGAATATCCTGTTGTTCCGGTCAATCCAAATGATGCATAGGGTGGCTCCCACTGTCGCCTTCCACAAGATGACATCGGATTTGGGCCGCGGAAGAAAGTGAGATGCCCTAAATAACAGGGTGATCGAATTGGGGGTGGCCCACTGCCAGTTGAGCAACCTTTGGATAGCACCCTAGAGCTCCCAGGCAAAAGGACAAAGGATGAAGAGGTGTGCATGGCTTTCCTCGGCGTTGGTACATAGGATGCAATGGTTGGGATGGGGTATGCCTCTTCTTTGCAGCTGATCAACCGTGAGCACCCTTTCCAAGAGGGCTATCCAATAGAACACTTGGATCTCGGGTGGTGCTATGGATGACCAAGCCTTAGCAGAGATGGCAATTGGGGATAGGGGAAAGGTGGGGTGTTGAAGAAGGCTATGGTAGAAAGAGGAGACCATGAACAGGCTGGAGGGGGAAGGGAACCAAATGAGCTGGTCTTGCCTGGATAGAGGCAGAAATGTGGAGTGTAAGAGTGATGAAAGGCTGAGAAATTCATCACACTCAGGTTCAGTTAGGGGTTTCCTAAAGTCAGGATTCCAAGCTCTAGAAGACGCAACAATGTGGGAAGTAGTCTGCAACTAACGTGTGTTTGTTGATGGCAAGGAGGAAAAGTGAGGGAAACAGATATTGAAATGGGGTGTGACCTTCCTAGAGGTCCGACTAGAATCTTACCATTTGGCCTTAGCGAGGATGAAAGCGAATGTTGGCCCTAAACAAGGAGAGGGAGGACATAAGGGATCTCCAAACCCCAGAGGATCTATTATTGGCTCTGCAGTTAGGCGCCCATTCAGAGTGTTGGATGTGTTATTTGTGGCGGAGCACTTGCATCCATGGGTGGTTGCCTTGGGTGTCTAAATGGCACCACCACTTGTCGAGCAGGGCAGTATTATGTTTTCTAAGACACCGGATATTGAGACCCCCAAGTCTTTTGGGCGAGCAGACCTTAAGCCAGAATATGAGGTGGATCCTCCTCTGTTCGCTCTCCCCAGACCACAAGAAGTTTCTCATGAGCTGTTCAAGTCGGTAGATCATAGTAGCCGTCATATGGAACAATGATATCTCGTAGACCACGATGTTGGCTAAAGAGGCCATAATGACCGTGATTCTGCCTGCCACAGAGAGATATCGACCCTTCTATCCTGCTAGTCTACGGTAACGTATCTACCATGTGAGCCCACTGCCGTTTTTAGGTTTGCTGATGCATAAAGGACAAGTGTGCGCTTTATAAAAGACGAGGGTGTCATTTGCGTATTGGAGTTGAGAAATAATGGGGCCTTTGGGCCCGCATTTGAAGCCATGTAGTAGACCCGAATTGAACACTAGGTAATAGATCGGCTAGTGTTTCAAAAAGCGCTAGGCGGCACCTAGGCGGTTGGGGTGGTCCAGGCCGCCTAGCGCCTAGGCAGGTGCCCAGAACCTGGGCGGCCCAGTAGAAATTTTTTTTTTGGGGGTTTTTCTCTCGCTAAAATAGGCTCTAATGGGTTTTAGGTTTCAAATGAACCTTTTTTGGGCGCCTAGGCCTTGGGCGATGCGCCCAATCCCCCAGAACCGCCTAGGCGGCTGCCCAGGCGCTGGGCGGTCCGCTTTTTGAAACACTGAGATTGGGTAAAAACCTCGGTCGCTATTACAACGAGGAAGGGGGATAGAGGGTCTCCTTGTCGGGGACCCTTGGGGGAAGAGAAAAATCCTCTTGGGGAGCCATTGATAAGCACGAGGAAAGAGGGGTTGGAAATGCACCGCACCCTCTCATCCAAGCCCTCCACCGGCTGCCAAATCCCATTATGAGGAGGGTTTCTTAATACCCAATTAACATGGTCATAAGCCTTCTCCTAGTCGAGATGCATTCATGGGTAACAAGTGCACCATCCAGAATCAGTCTATCTTTCACAAGAGCGCCTTCATTACAATTTTATGTGATAGTTGTTAACCATGTTTCCTTAGAGAGAGATAATAAACAAATATTGCTGGCTATTTTCATCATTCTATTTCAACAACTATATCATAATTGATTCCTTCTAAAATGCAAATGCTTTAGTAACATTTTGTAATTGTTACTCGCAGTGGGCTCTTATGACAGCTTTGGATCCAGTCAATAGCATGGCAAATTTGACATACATTGCATATCCTGGTGATCTGACTTCTGCTTTCCATGTAACACGACGAAGGAAGCAAGATCGCAAGCGTCAACAGTCTCAGAGAAATGTTTTCCAGTGCTTTGTATTTGGTCCAAAGAATGCTGGGAAATCTGCTTTGCTAAATGCTCTGATTGGAAGGTGTGCTTGCCTACACATACTCGAGTCTTGGCTCAGTTTTTTCATGGGTGTTTTTTTAAGATAAAATGGCATGTAAATAACTCTATATGGTGCTTGTTTTCTTTTTGTTTTGGCTTTTGTGTAAGAAATATGACTTTGCTTCTAATATTAAAACATACAGGCCTTTCAGTGATAACCATTCATCAACAATGGAAGAGCGTTTTGCTGCTAACATTGTTGAGCAGCAGCCAGGGGTAAGAGTTCTTTAGGCAAGTGCAATTGTTATAAAGTGGTAAAGCTATTTACATATTTTAAAAAATCTGTCATATTTCTTTCTGATAATTTTTATTTACTCTTTCTCATTTCAACCATCAAATGATCTGATTCAATGATAGAATGATACTATGTATTCTAATGATTCTTGCGCATCAGTGAAGGTTAAGTTTTCAAGCAAGTTTATTTCTGATATAGTAAAAATTGAAATAGCTATTTTCTTTCTTTCCAGAGATTGGATAAGATCTCATTTCTACCATCAAAATATCTGTTTCAATGGTATGATGATATTGGATGTGGGTAGCCTTTCTGCTGTTTCATCTGTAGCATTGGTATCCCTAGTATATTGATATCCAGCAGATAGTATTATCCTTTTGAGTTGGTTCCCAAATTGTTATACTACGGGCAGGTCTGCAATCTCTACAATTAGAAATGATAGTTGGAGGACTTGACTGCCCGTTATTGCCTTTAATGTGTATAATAACTATTTCAAGTGGAAGAAGCAGAGTAAAGAAACGTGCCTGATGTATCTAAGGATTTCGATGACATACTAGAGAAGCCACCTTTGTGTCAGTTTTGGTTTTCTCTACTAATGATATTGTAATTTTCATATTCTTCTTCCTGTTCTTTTGTTCTTTTTCCGTAGTTCTATGTTGATTCTCTGAGTTCAATGTTGGTACTCATTACCTGAAGGTGTTTTTTAGGGAGCTAAGAAAACCCTCATTATGCGGGAGATTCCTGAAGATGGTGTTCAAAAGATGCTGTCCAATAAGGAATCGTTGGCATCATGTGATGTTGCAGTATTTGTTTATGACAGGTATTTAATTGAGATTATCATGTGGCGTTCGGTGATTTAGCTGAATCTATTCACTATCTTCTAGAAGCTATACATTACATGTCATTTTTGTGGTTCGGAATGAATTGGCTATTTTCCATTTTTATAATTTTGCTTCCAGCCTTCGCATGTACTATTGAGTAGACAATTATTGGATAAATTTCTCTCTTCCCATGACAAGAGATACATACACTGCTTCAGTTCGTTTAGGCATTAGGTTTATTTCTTTGTTTTTTTTGAGGAATAAGTTCAGTTCCTAGGGCATTGATTGTGGCGATTTGTGTGGGGAGCAAAGGTGAAATATCGATTTGAAGTTGCGTGTACAAATTAGGGGAAAATTATGCTTGTGCTAAAAATAATGATGAATTTCTGTTGCCTACCTTTTTTGGCATTTAAGGTGTTGGCAAAAAAAATAGAAATGGAACCAGAAGGTATTCTAAAATAATCATTCTTTATAAATAAAGAAATGCAAACTTGGAATATATAAGTTATCGTGAAAAACATTTTACCTTCTGATGATGGTTCCGAACAAGCTACTTTGCGTGTTGCAATTGCTATTGGCTATTGGCTATTGGCTTTGGATGTACTGATATTTTTTTTTCCTTTTATAAGAGTTTTTACATTTAAACTTATAATCCATGCCCCCAGGCGATTTATCAAGGCTTCTAAAATCCAAGCAGGGAGCACCAGAGGAGGGGATCAAAGAATCTTTTGTTTCCAAAAAATAGATGAATACAGAGGCTTTAGATTTGGTTGAGATGGTCGAGTCTTTGCTGTACTCTTCGCACTTCATGTTGTGTTTTGACACTTAGCTTGATAGTGCATCATGTTGTGTTGACTTTATCAGATTTGCATTAATTTCCATTCTACTCCATGCGATCAATGCTGTATCACCATTTTACCTTAAATCAGAGAAATCTTCTGTCAAGGCTGACTTAGAGATTAGCTGATTGATGGATTGTCCCTATGACATGGGCTTTTTTAACTCGTTTTGCTTGTGCGCTTCATCTTTGTTGTGAGGTTTCATTTTGCTGCAGCATTTTTTGATTTGACCTTGAGATTACTTTGAGAACACATGGAATTCTACCTCTGGAGCACCGAATTAATTTGGAAACGTCATCTGTGTTTTCAGTTCTGATGAAAGCTCATGGAAAAGAGCAACTGAACTACTTGTTGAAGTAGCCACTCATGGGGAAGTCACAGGCTACGATATCCCTTGCCTCATTGTGGCCGCGAAGGATGACCTGGACCCATATCCATTGGCCATATCAGATTCAACCAGGGTACATTCTTTGAAGCTCTTGACGCTTTAGCGTTTTGCAAATGTTGTAGTATTGTTTTCTATTTTCTTGTTGGAATTGATGTTTTTATTTTTTCTATTTTTATGCAACTAACTGGTGACTTTTTATTTTTATCTTTAAACCTAGAAACCTTCATGGTTTTGCAATATAAGTATCTGGTGAATGATTTTACCCATCAATTTACTTGCTGCGCAATGTTACTGTTAGGCAGCTGTAAATAATGCACATGCTTCTGGAATATTGTCCATATCATGTCGTACATAGTGTTAATCTTAAGTGGGCATCATTCCATTTAGCATGCACACCATGAATTACTAATATGAAGAGCTTATCCTTTCCTCTGGTATATAACAGATGTAAATGAATGCCACCTTGGGAATTTTTGTTCATTTTCTATTCATCTTCTTCTGTTTCTCTAATAATCACTACTGTTATAATTTTGCTTGTATAGGTTAGCCAAGATATGGGGATAGAAGCGCCCATAACAGTCAGTATGAGATTAGGAGATGTGAACAACCTATTTAGAAGGATTATTAATGCCGCACAACACCCACACTTAAGCATTCCTGAAACTGAGGCCGGGAGAAACCGCAAGCAATATCGCCGGCTCGTCAATCGCTTCATGTTTGTTTCTGGTATGCTTTATCAGTTTGGCATTCTCGACCGTTATTTTTCTATCTGCGTCATTGAAATTGCACAAACACCCACCATAAAATAAAAAACCTTTCAGTTCTTTTATGCTCTTGCATTGCAAAAAAGGAAGTGCCTTGATGCACATGTGTTTGTATATTTCCATTTTAAGAAGTTCTAGGTGTGGGGTTTTTGAAAGGGAAATTTCTTGGTTCTGAATCTTTATGTTTTCTGTAAAATGCTTGCGGCCGAAAAAAAGAGAAAAAGAACTTCCAATCCCTCTGAATAGAGCAAGCTGCACTTCTTAATTATCCACCTCTTAAACGTGTCCTTGAATCTATGTGGGTTTGGTCTCCACTATCCTCAATGAGGGAGGGGCAGCAGGGACCCCTTTCTCCACTTGATGGACAAACGAGTCGGGAAACATTTATCTCGAACATAAACTGTATACTGATTCATTTGTGAATCTTTACTCTTTTTTATATGCATCCGTGGTCTTAATGCATTTATCTATTGCCTTTTATAATGTCTCTTTCATTTACAGTTGGAGCTGGAGTTGTACTTGTGGGGTTGGCAGCTTATAAGGTGTATGCGGCGAGGAAGCGTTCTTCTGGCTAGGGTTTTCTCCACCAACCTGATATTTACTTTCATTTGAGAATATTGCTTTTGAAAATGGGTTTTCACTTGCCCTTGTATACCATGATTTCTCTGTAAGAATTTTACTTACTACCATGTTCAGAGCAGCTTAGGAGTTCCGTGAAGCCTGTCGAGAAGTAGGGGAGGCTTCTGTCTTTTTCTTTTAATGTTTATATTGTTGCTCTTTTGTCTTTTTACTGTGCGCTTCATCTATTGATTTGGTTTATTTTGCATGAACCTAGTAGGAACCACTTTGCCAAGCCTCATCTATTTTGCTTGAGCAAAACTTCTTTAAAAAATAAGAATCAAGAGAATGATATTTGATGAGGCTTCTTGATGGTTTGATGGGTGCGCTCGCATCTAGTATCATGACCATTTAAGAGGGAGAGAGAAGAGGACCTTTTTTGCTGCATCGATAGAGAGAGTAAGCACCTTTTGCTGGTTAAGTTTATGTAAGGGTTTCGAAAACATCCATGAAGTTGTTCCGATATTGGGAAATTCTCCAATTGAACATCCTAATCTTGGAATGTATAGATATGAATAAAAAAATATTTTGAGTTCTAAAAATAGTGCCCGTAAAATATTATTTGGATCATTTATTTTCAATATTAGTTCACCTTGTCTCATTTTTTGTGAATACAATGATGAATAAAAAATTGCACCACCATTAATGTTATGAAATCCGTTGCATCTAATAATTTTGTGGATAATTTTATTTTTCTGTTTTGAACTCAAATATATCAGGCATTCAATGGTTCACTACATGATCGGGCTGTTGCTCCAAATTGTGCATAAGATCTCTGTGGCATTTCTTTTGGCTGGTTTGGATGCAGGAATAACTCAACTCAATCGTGTAAAGGGTACCGGGTTGAGCCTGGCTATACCCCTTCGGTCTAGGTGGAGTGGGCTAGACTCTAGGGCTAGGGCCACTGCTTGCTACTGGACTTTCTTTGTTTTTTTTTGACATATTAATGGGGTAGAAATTGAACCTTGGCTTCTTGTTATGGCTCCTGCCTTGACTACCCAAGCCAAATGTCCATTCTTGCTGATGGACCAACTTCTAAATTTAGTGACAATTATCATTGATGGGTGAAATTGATTTTCTTATGAGGCGATCAAGGCCTGATAATATCGATTTCATGGAAAATAAAATTTTCACGGTAATATGGGCCTCCTTGATACTTCCCTATAATGACCCTAGGCGACGATAACAAAACATTTTGGAGACTAAATCGGAGAAAGAAATAGCTCAAATGAGGGGTCCCTTTCTAATTAGTGATATAACGTCCCTTTCTAATTAGTAATATAACATTTATTAGTTTTGAATGCTAAAATTCTGAAAAAGCTTAATTTAAAATTTTAAAACTAATCCACGTTGCCTAAGAAATACCTTGAAATTTTGTCATTCTGAATTTAAATTTTTGGAAAAGGTTTAAAAATTTACCCAAATTTTCATTTGAATATTGAAATAGGTTCATATCTCAAAAACTTTAAGACTGATTAGAGTGCCGATGGAGAATTTAAATCTATTCCATGATAACAAATTAATATTACTTTCATATATTAACTTTACGATAAAATTCTAATAACTACTCAACCGATAGGAGTGAACAATAATGTCCAGCAAACTTGTTGACGATGTCACTGAGCTTCTAGAACATGGGGAGGGGGGGGGGGGCGGGGGGTGGTTATATTACTTGGCTTCATAGTTTTCTCAAAAAAAAAATAAAAAAATCAATGTGGTAACCCAATTTTAATGCTTGAAAGGCAAATTTCTCACCATTTAGTAATGGTATGTACTGAAGAAAGTAGCGTATTTTGCTGTGATAACCGCTAAAAAAATAATTTGATAACTTCATTTATTTGTAGGGTGTGGTTTATATAAGGTCTCAACCTTAAACAAATTCAAATAAGGTACACCTCCAAAGCTCGTTTAGAGATGTTATCTCAGTGCAATTTTTTTTTATAATAACTTGAAAATCTATTTCAAACCTAATTATTAAAATTTTGAAGTAAAAAAATGGACAATCCAGCATTCCTTCAAACAAATGAATATCTTGAGAACTGACAATCCAAAAATGTATTACAAGATGTATTATTTTAAGATTTCGATTTTCTTTCTTATTTTAAGATTTCAAACTTTTTTTCTATATTTGTACATTGGTCGAGATGATCAATCAGAGGCTTTTCATCATTCAAATAATATTTTTCAAGGGCTCTTGAAAGTGTCTTCTTCCACCACCACAACATCCACATGAGGCTTCAACCTTGCATAAATTTTTTCTTTATTGTTTGTCACTAGGTTTCGGGGATCTTCAATAAATTGACATACCTTAAAATCGAAAAAAATTCGTTTTTATTTTAAAAAGTCGGATGAAAAAATCGGATTGACAAAAATACTTCATGTAAAGATATCGTCAATATATCGGATTAGGCTAAAAAAATCGGATAAATACATATCAAAAAATACACCATATCAAACGTACTTAAATACATATAAAAAAAATACACCATATAAATTTTCTCATTAAATACTTTAGCAAATATCACACCCACTTAAGTACATGCCAAGGCAGGGTTTTTTTTATCATCAAATGCTTTAACTATGATATAACAACTTTATAACTATGGTTAGTGATTAAAGTTTATACTTTATATACATACTTGCATTACTTTCTAGAGAGAGAAGGCGTAGAGGAGAGAATGAGGGAACTGCTACAAAATTCGTCGACATTACCATTTTTTCGACAGAAACCAGGCGTTGAACTTCACATAATATGTTGATCGAGATTTGAGAGGGAAGGAAGTGATCTCTAAAGCTTTTTCCTGGCAAAAATGGCAGCCCGTGGAGAGAAAGACGGTGATTTAAGCTTTTCCCTGGCAAAAATGGCAGCCCGTGGAGAGAAAGGCGGTGATTTTTATGCAAGTTTAGGGTTGGAGTGCTATGCTTCAGATCTAAAAAATGCATACAAAGGCTCGCACTCGTTAGAATAACACCCTTCATTTATTTGCTTTTTCTATTCACTTAATCTTTTTCCTGTAAGTATTGTTGTTTCTTGATTCGAAATGTTACGGGGTAAATATTTTCTATGTTTTAGCTTTCTGAAACTTTGGCATTCTATTTTTCGATTGTTTTCGAAGTTCCGCATTGTTAAGCTTTCATCTCTTCTATATAAAACTTTTGCTACTCTTATTTATGAGGATTTTCACTAATTTTTATCGAAAGTTTTTTAATTATCTTAAGATAAGATTATTTTTTCACAGAGGTTCTAAAGAGAGAAACATGGCCTTTTTCGTTTTTTTCACTGATGGTTTTTTGTCCCGTTTTATTTGTTTTAAAAAAATCGTATTTTTAATGGTATTATGAAAAGAGTAATGATCCTATTGGACCATTCCTCATACATGTGTAGGATGGATCACTATTAAAATTGGTATGAATTTTCATAAAAACGACTTCTAAAATATTTTTCAAATGTTTACCAATTTTTTGAAAATTTCAGCGATTAATGGCCGAATTGCTAACTATGGATTGAAGGCAAATGTGTTTTGCACAGAGTTTGGAAATAACGTTCCCTCGCACCTTCGTCTCTCAAACGTTACCGCTTAAAACAACGCCCCTTCTCTCTCTCTCTCTCAAATTACATCTTAAAATACGAACCTTCTCTCTCTTCTCTCTCTCTCTAAAATTACATCTTAAAATACGCCCCTTCTCTCTCTAAAATTACATCTTAAAATACGCCCCTTCTCTCTCTAAAATTACATCTTAAAATACGCCCCTTCTCTCTCTAAAATTACATCTTAAAATACGCCCCCCTCTCGCTCTAAAATTACCGCTTGAAGTGCATACCTCTCTTTCTCGCCTTCCCGCCCCCCTCTCTCTAAAACTTCCGCTTCAAATACGCATCCTCTCTCTCTCTCTCTCTCTCTCTCCAGTTCCTCGTGTTCTGACCAGCCTTCTTTCTCTTGAGAAAACAAACCATGAATTCTAAACTACTACAACTTGGCCCATATGATGCCGATAATCCATTAGAGTTATCTATAAGGCTGGCGTTCTCGAAAATTCATCCTCAACTGAAGCCTCCATTCTCTCTGAAAATCTCTTCTCCTTCTGAGTATGTTCAGCTCAATCAAGCCCTAGCTTACGCAATTTTGACCCAACCCCAGCTCTCGAAAGTCCATATAACTCATCTTCACACCATTGTTACTGATGGATATCGTTCATTTGTTAGTTTATTGGTGAAGCTTGTGAGTGAATCATACAGAAAGCTTTTTGAATCTGCTAGGGCACAATTGATTTGGGTTTTTGGCAAATTGATAGAAGTTGAAGCTCTGGGTGTTGAGAATCTTTTGGTTTCTCTTTTGAGGCAGATAATTAGTGGAGACTTTAGTCATGAAAGCTTATGGCTTTCAATGGAGTTGCTTAAAGTTTTGAACCAAAATTGGGGGTGGGTTTTGCGTAAACAGAATTCCATGACTTCTGCTTTGTTCACATACCTTCGTCTTTTGGCTGATCATTACAAATTCCCAAACCCAAATTTGGTTGTTCTCAAGATGATGGAAATTGGGTTTTGTATCAGAGTTTTGAGGGAATCATTTCATTCATGTATGGGGATTGGAAGGGATCTTATTCGTCTTCTACAAGACTTGGTTCTCATTCCTGAATTTCGAGATCTATGGAAGGACTTAATTTCAAATCCTTCTGCATTTAATGTTCCCGAGTTCTCTGATATCTCTCAAATTTATTGCTTGAAAACACCGAACAGGTATTTTTTGCTTAGAATTACACCAGAGATGGAAACCCAACTGAGATTTATGCTTAGTCATGTGAAATGGGGCAACCAAATTAGGTACCAAGAATGGTTTGCTAGTAAGTTCCTCTCAAAGCCAAATAGAGAATCATTGATATGCGACATTATCCGATTCATATGTTGTGCCCACCATCCCCCTAATGAAGTTATCCAATCCAATGTCATCTCAAGATGGGCCATAAGTGGGTGGCTCCTCAAATGTTGTAAAAAATTCCATGTAGAGGCCAATGCTAAATTAGCTCTGTTTTATGATTGGTTCTTCTTTGATGAGCAGTTTGATAATATAATGAACATTGAACCAGCCATGTTACTTATGTTGAACTCCATACATATGCACATTGATGTAACTCAGACCCTTCTGGATTTTTTATTTCTGGTCATGGACAATTATGATGTTAACAGGAAGGAGATCATAGCCCAAGGCATATATACATCGCTTCATGCATTGGTTAGAAGAGGAGTCGTGCATTCCTTGGAGCCACTTCTTTCTTCCTCTCGTATTTCTCCCATGCTCAGGGAGAAGCTTAAAAATTGCTACGATAAGACATCAAATGGATACGGTAATGCGCTTTTCAATGTTGCAAAAGGTGCATTAGGTAGTCCTCGTAAAATTGCATCTAGCTTTGAGAGCCTGAAAACGTCCGCAATGGAGGCAGGAAATGTGGCATGTCACAAAACGAATGGCTTTTCCGATGGATCCATTGACTGTTCAAACAAAATTATCGATAAGCCACTTCATCCTTTTGCTTCTGCAAAAACTAATAATGTGGATCTTGGTAGTTTAGCCCAGTTCAGTGATTTTGCTGATCCTTCTGTTGAAATTGTTGATAAACCTAAGGGTGCTTGTGCTTCTATGAAAAGTATAGAGACGGATGTTGGTAAATTGGAGAAAATCAGTGATTTTGCTGAGCCTTCTATTAAAATTATCAATAAGCCTGCTGATCCTTGTGCTTCTGCGGAAAATACAGAGATAGGTGCTTGTGATGCACTTTTCAATGTTGCAAAAGGTGCATTTGGTACTCATAAAATTGCGTCTAGCTTTGAGAGCCTGAAAATGTCCACAATGGAGGCAGGAAATGTGGCATGTCACAAAAAGAATGGCTTTTCCAATGGATCCATTGACCGTTCAAACAAAATTGTCGATAAGCCACTTCATCCTTTTGCTTCTGCAAAAACTAATAATGTGGATCTTGGTAGTTTAGCCCATTTCAGTGAATTTGCTGACCCTTCTGTTGAAATTGTTGATAAACCTAAGGGTGCTTGTGCTTCTATGAAAAGTCTAGAGACGGATGTCGGTAAATTGGACAAAATCTGTGATTTTGCTGAGCCTTCTATTAAAATTATCAATAAGCCTGCTGATCCTTGTGCTTCTGCAGAAAATAAAGAGATGGGTGCTCATAGTTTACACCATATCAACGAAGTTGCCGAACCTTCTGTTAAAATTATTGACCAGCCTGCTGATGCTTGTGCTTCCTATGAGAACTTAGAGATGGGTATGGATGGTTCAGAGCATTTGAATGGATTTGCAGACACTTCTATTACAGACACTTCGATTAAAATTGTAGAGAAGCCTGCTGATCCTTGTCCTTCTGTTGAAAATGAAATGATGCACATCGGTCAGTTAGAGAATTTGGCAAGCAGCCTTCAGGAAGCTCTAAAAGATTCAAGAGAAAAAGGATTGCATTTGTTAGAGAAAGCTTTGACGTGTCTAGCGACCTCTTCTCATGCTGTGGTTGGGGGGGAAGCTTTGGCATGCCAGATATCAGATGCATTTAAGTCTAATGGGTATCAGATTTTCATGCCCATTGCGGGACCATCGAATGCCTGTGAAGATGATGAGATTAAGTCTGCAACAGCCTTAGTTATTCGTGAATATATTATAACACATCATGAAATCATACAAGAATGGATGTTTCTATGGGCGAGAAATGGTCTTCCTGTTGGCTCCCGTTTATTATCTTATATATCAAGGCTTGCTCATGAAGCACAAAATGATCCAATCACAGCTAAAGATATTAATAGCTTTCTTGAAGATGAGAACCAAGAAAGTGTGGAGCCAACACCAAAACGGCACAAAAAGATTCCTGTGAAGGAAATTGATTTGGAGAATAGCTTACTGTTGAAATGGCATATCTGTGGGTACACTTCTTTCATGAGAAGTGGAAGAAAAGGCTTTGCAAGTAATGGTACCACTCACACTGAAGCAGATAATAGCTTGGCTTCTTCTCTGGTTGAGAGTGCTTTTGATGCATATAGAAACTTTCTAGAAACATACTGCAATAAATTGCTACTGAGGAAACTCACTATTACTTACCCATTGCTTGCAAATCCAAATAGGCTCCCATGCAATGCGAGAAGAGTGGATGATCCAGCTCTTACTAGGTCCCTTTTATCTGATTTGAAGTGCTGCTTTGGGTGGAAAAAGAGAAATCCACATATCATGTTTGAAAACATATTTTCTCACCTTGCTGATTTATCTACTTGTAAGAAGCCCATTGTTCGATTGCTTTTGGGTATTTCAGATCATGCAGAGCTTTTGAATATGGAGTTTGAGATAGGATTGAAGAGATTTTCAGTTTTTGGGGACAATATTGAAATGATATGCCATTTAGTAAAGGATTCTCTATACTGGGAATTTTCAGAGCAACAAAAATTGTGGGGCCTGTTGGTATCAGAGTTGTTAGTATCCACTGTTCCCAAGGCCAAATTGCTCCAAGAATTATGCTTGGCAGTCTTAGATCTCCAGTTGCATGTTGTGGCAGTAAGAGGTCTCTTTATGCTTTTGAAGTCCCTTTCTCCCTCATTGGACCTGATTGCTGCTGTAATGTCATTACCTCATTCATATGGAAAGTTTGCAGCTGCAGTTTTGGCTAGCTGGTCAGTTTCCCATGGCTCAATTTTGCTCGGAAATTTGGAAGAGTGGTTAAGTAATACTGTTTCAGCAGGTCGAAGCCAAAGTGTTACTTTTATTAATCAAGCAGCTGTCACGGGATTTTTAGATTTCCTTGATTTGGAGAGAAGAGATTCTTTAAGCTTTATGGCTGAAAATGTTTTTGACATGAGGACTCACTTACTCAATCTTCTTGACAGATTACGTTAGGAATTTTGGTTCGCAAACTATGGGGAGTTTGGTTTGCTTGGTGTTGGGATCCATGAGTGCGTTGAGCTTTTCCCTACAGCTCAGTAGGGTTGGTTTATGTTGCAGCTGTGTATATACTCGGCCAAAGCAAATGTAATTTTCAGCTCACCTTGATTTTTTTATTCGCTACATCTATTAGCAATAGCATACCATGTATTGGAGCATGTTTTAGATAGACAATTATATTTTTACATGTTTTCTAGTTTGAATCAAAATTGGATTGTCATAGTTTAATGGAATTGATGTCATTAGTGTGGACTTCTAGTTTAACTGAGGATGGGATTTTAATGTAGGTTTTCCATGATTTTGGATTTGTGGATTTATTGATCTTGCTGATCTTTAACCTTTGTAAGCATGAAATGTATGAACATGATTGTCAGCATTTTGGCAGAGGTTTTGGTTGATTTATGTGCTTAAAGTGTTCTCTTCCATTTTTTTTTGGGTGGATTTGTTCGTTTCATCTATTGATCACTATAATGGTAGTTATGAATAGTTTCACGTCTGTGATATTGTCTGCGGACACTTCGCACACCAATGACTAAATATAACAGAGGTGCAACTATTCTTAACTATCATTTCAAGTTAAATGGATTCTTCCCTTTCGGTGCCTTATCCATGTTGGACGCATGATGACACATGCACTGTACAGATTCTTTTGGATTCTTTTGCTTAATTATGAACCATTGATTACATCATTTGAGTGACTTGATCTTTATTCTATCTTGAGTTGACACGTGAACTTCGAAATGTCTATGAAACTCACAAATAATCTATGGATTCAGCCAATTATGGTATAAATGATTATCTCTTGCTCCTCATCATGAAATGGTATTCGAGTAAAACATTGCTGGTCACAAAATCCTCTTCTTCATGGCATGAAGAAACCATTACCCTGTACCTGTATCCGATACTGACGCGTGTGCCGTGTCCATTCAACATAGCACAACCTTTTTGTCTAGGATTTCTCCTAAAGCACAAAAGAAAAAAACTATTTTGGAAAATATGCGTGCTCATGTATATCACGACCACTTTTTTGATAGTTTAATATATCGATCCATATTTTGGTAAGTACACACAGTCAGACTCATGTGTGATTGTGATATATCACGACCACTTTTTTGATACCAAGGGTTAATCTATGTTACATATTAGCTACATGGTTTTCAATGGAGTAGTTCCTTGCTGGTGCTGGGATGTCATATGACCCATTTTTCTTACATTGAAGGTCATGTGTTACATGAGTGTCAGTAAAGTTATTGGATTAATACAGATTTGTCCGGTACTTTACTGGATAGATTGGTAGTGTCCAAATAGTTATTTTTTGATGCATTTATCACACTTCTCATTCTTGCCATTATTTTCGTTGGTGGAATTGTAGATGGATGGGAGAAGTGAAGTGTAATTACAGACCGGAAGAAAGGATGAGAACATGCCTGGACAGTGAGTACAAATGGAATGGAGATCCTTTTGACAAGGGTAGTTGATTCTGAGCTCCTTTATGAACTATTGTGAAGTTCAAGTATTTGGGGCCCAGTTCAAAATTTTAAGAATATAGTATTGAGATTTTAGGTAGTATTGAGTTGTTTCTTGTTCTTTACTTTGAGCAATATAATTTTCCTATCCTATGCAGGGATCCAAGCTAGTGGAGAATAAATGTTCTTTGTCATCTCTTCAGAGTTCCCTGAGTTTAGTTACAAGGATAAAACATTGGTTTTTCTATTATTTGTCAAACACTAGCAAATGCTTGATTGTGATGTGGGATGCATGAAGTTCCTCGGTGATAATGTTGATCAAAAGAAGTTTGGTGGTGAGCGTGTGAGACACCTTACAGGTACTTGTTGGGCCTATCTTTCCTCATAATTGTATAATTGCATGCCCCTGAGCCTACCTAGCAGAGTGTTTGGAAGAATGTGTATCGGCGGAGCTGTTGTTCCCTGGTAGAGGACAAATTTGATTGGTTGATACAAGTTGATTTTTTGTAAGGCGGCTGCCAAATCCCATTATGAGGAGGGTTTCTTCAAGGAGTACCCAATTAACATGGTCATAAGCCTTCTCCCAGTCGAAATGCATTCATGGGCTACAAGTGCACCATCCAGAATCAGTCTATCTTTCACAAAATCGTCTTCATTAGAATTTTATGTAATAGTGTTAACCATGTTTCCTTAGAGAGAGATAATAAAAAAATATTGCTGGCTCTTTTCATCATTCTATTTCAACAACTATATCATAATTGATTCCTTCTAAAATGTAAATGCTTTAGTAACATTTTGTAATTGTTACTCGCAGTGGGCTCTTATGACAGATTTGGATCCAGTTAATAGCATTGCAAATTTGACATACATTGCATATCCTGGTGATCTGATTTCTGCTTTCCATGTAACACAACGAAGGAAGCAAGATCGCAAGTGTCAACAGTCTCAGAGAAATGTTTTCCAGTGCTTTGTATTTGGTCCAAAGAATGCTGGGAAATCTGCTTTGCTAAATGCTCTGATTGGAAGGTGTGTTTGCCTACACATACTCGAGTCCTGGCTCAGTTTTTTCAGGGGTGTTTTTTTAAGATAAAATGGCATGTAAATAACTCTACATGGTGCTCGTTTTCTTTTTGTTTTGGCATTTGTGTAAGAAATATGACTTTGCTTCTAATATTAAAACATACATCCCTTTCAGTGATAACCATTCATCAACAATGGAAGAGCGTTTTGCGGCTAACATTATTGAGCAGCGGTTCTTTTGGCAAGTGCAATTGTTATAAAGTGGTAAAGCTATTTACATATTTTAAAAAAGCTGTCATATTTCTTTCTGGTAATTTGTATGTTTCAGATAAGTTTTATGTACTCGTTCTCATTTCAACCATCAAATGATCTGATTCAATGATAGAATGCTACTATGTGTTGTTATGATTGTTGAGCATCAGAGAAGGTTAAGTTTTCAAGCAAGTTTATTTCTGATATAGTAAAAATTGAAATAGCTATTTTCTTTCTTTCCAGAGATTGGATAAGATCTCATCTCTACCATCAAAATATCTGATTCAATGGTATGATGATATTGGATGTGGGTAGCCTTTCTGCTGTTTCATTTGTAGCATTGGTATCCCTAGTAAATTGATATCCAGCAGATAGTATTATCCTTTTGAGTTGGTTCCCAAATTGTTATACTACGGGCAGGTCTGCAATCTCTACAATTAGAAATGATAGTTAGAGGATTTGACTGCCCGCTATTGCCTTTAATGTGTATAATAACCATTTCAAGTGGAAGAAGCTGAGTAAAGAAACATGCCTGATGTATCTAAGGATTTTCGATGACATACTAGAGAAGCCACCACCTCTGTGTCAGTTTTGGTTTTCTCTACTTTAATTGAGATTATCATGTGGAGTTCGGTGATTTAGCCGAATCCATTCACTATCTTCTAGAAGCTATTTATTACATGTCATTTTTGTGGTTCGGAATGAATTGCTATTTTCCATTTTTATAATTTTGCTTCCAGCCTTCGCATATACTATTGAGTAGACTATTATTGGATAGATTTCTTTCTTCCCGTGACAAAAGATACATACACTGCTTCAGTTCGTTTAAGCGTTAGGTTTAGTTCTTTGTTTTTTTTGAGGAATAAGTTCAGTTCCTAGGGCATTGATTGTGGCGATTTGTGTGGGGAGCAAAGGAGAAATATCGATTTGAAGTTGCGTGTACAAATTTGGGGAAACTTATGCTTGTGCTAAAAATAATGATGAATTTCTGTTGCCTACCTTTTTTGGCATTCAAGTTGTTGGCAAAAAAATAGATATGGAACCAGAAGGTATTCTAAAATAAAGATTCTTTATAGAGAAATGCAAACTTGGAATATATAAGTTCTCATGAAAAACATTTTACCTTCTGATGTTGGTTCCAAACCAGCTACTATGTGTGTTGCAATTATTATTGGCTATTGGCTTTGAATGTACTGATATTTTTTGTTCATAAGATTTTTTACATTTGAACTTATAATCCATGCCCCCATGCGATTTACCAAGGCTTCTAAAATCCAAGCAGGGAGCACCAGAGGAGGGGATCGAAGAATCTTTTGTTTCCAAAAAAATAGATGAATTTAGAGGCTTTAGATTTGGTTGAGATGGTCGAGTCATGTTGTGTTTTGGCACTTGGCTTGATAGTGCATCATGTTGTGTTGACTTTCTCAGATTTGCATTAAATTCCATTCTACTCCATGCGATCAATGCTGTGTCACCATTTTACTTAAAATCAGAGAAATCTCCTGTCAAGGCTGACTTAGAGATTAGCTGATTGATGGATAGTCCCTATGACATGGGCTTTTTTTACTCGTTTTGCTTGTGCGCTTCATCTTTGTTGTGAGGTTTCATTGTGCTGCAGTATTATTTGATTTGACCTCGAGATTACTTTGAGAACACATTGAAATTCTACCTCTGGAGCACCGAATTGATTTGGAAGCGTCATCTGTGTTTTCAGTTCTGATGAAAGCTCATGGAAAAGAGCAACTGAACTACTTGTTGAAGTAGCCACTCATGGGGAAGTCACAGGCTACGATATCCCTTGCCTCATTGTGGCCGCGAAGGATGACCTGGACCCATATCCGTTGGCCATATCAGATTCAACCAGGGTACATTCTTTGAAGATCTTGATGCTTTAGCGTTTTGCAAACGGTTGAGTATTTTTTTCTATTTTCTTGTTGGAATTGATGTTTTTATTTTTTCTATTTTTATGCAACGAACTGGTGACTTTTTATTTTTATCTTTAAACCTAGAAACCTTCGTGGTTTTGCGATATAAGTATCTGGCGATTGATTTTACCCATCAATTTACTTGCTGCGGAATGTTACTGTTAGGCAGTTGTAAATAATGCACATGCTTTTGAAATATTGTCCATATCATGTCGTACAGAGTGTTAACTTAAGTGGGCATCATTCCATTCAGCATGCATACCATGAATTACTAATATGAAGAGCTTATTGTTTCCTCTGGTATATAATCGACGTAAATGAATGCCACCTTGGGAATTTTTGTTCATTTTCTATTCATCTTCTTCTGTTTCTCTTTGGTGATTTTCATGGCAGTTTGATTCAGGGTAATTGTCAGTCTAATAATCACTACTGTTATAATTTTGCTTGTATAGGTTAGCCAAGATATGGGAATAGAAGCGCCCATAACAGTCAGTATGAGATTAGGAGATGTGAACAACCTATTTAGAAGGATTATTAATGCCGTACAACACCCACACTTGAGCATTCCTTAAACTGAGGCAGGGAGAAACCACAAGCAATATCGCCGGCTCGTCAATAGCTTCATGTTTGTTTCTGGTATGCCTTATCAGTTTGGCATTCTCGACCGTTATTTTTCTATCTGCATCACTGAAATTTCATAAACACCCACCATAAAATAAAAAACCTTTCAGTTCTTCTATGTACTTGCGTTACAAAAAAGGAAGTGCCTTGATTTTCGTGTGTCGGTATATTTCCATTTTAAGAAGTTCTAGGTGTGGGGTTACTTTTGAAAGGGAAATTTCTTGGTTCTGAATCTTTATGTTTTCCGTAAAATGCTTGTGGCCAAAAAAAAGAGAAAAGGAACTTCCAATCCCTCTGAATAGAGCAAGCCGCACTTCTTAATTATCAACCTCTTAGATGGGTCCTTGAATCTATGCGGGTTTAGTCCCCATCCTCTAATCGAAATCCTAAAGGATTGTACGACCCCTCCCCCCCCCTAAAGTTTAAGTATTTGGGGCCCAGTTCAAAATTTTAAGAATATAGTATTGAGATTTTAGGTAGTATTGAATTGTTTCTTGTTCTTTACTTTGAGCAATATAATTTTCCTATCCTATGCAGGGATCCAAGCTAGGGGAGAATAAATGTTCTTTGCCATCTCTTCAGAGTTCCCTGAGTTTAGTTACAAGGATAAAACATTGGTTTTTCTATTATTTGTCAAACACCAGCAAATGCTTGATTGTGATGTGGGATGCATGAGGCTCCTCGGTGATAATGTTGATCAAAAGAAGTTTGGTGGTGAGTGTGTGAGACACCTTACAGGTACTTGTTGAGCCTGTCTTTTCTCATAATTGTATAATTGGATGCCTCGTAGCCTACCTAGTAGAGTGTTTGGAAGAATGTGTATTGGCGGAGCTGGTGTTCCCTGGTAGAGGGAAACAAATTTGATTGGTTGATACAAGTTGATTTTTTGTAAGGCAGATAGCAGGAAATGAAACCGCATCTTCTTCTTGGCAAAGAGAAATTTTACCATTTGGCCATATCCGTGGATAGCAGGAAACAATGCTAAGAGAAATTTTACCATTTTACCATTTTACCATTTTACCATATCCATATTTTCTTTGTGGGTTGATCTCATTAAATTTGAGTTCTTGAACGGTTCAACCGCAATTTAAGTAATTTCTGAAGTAGTTTAGAAATATTCAGTATTTCTATAAATTTTTAACTGTTGTTTACTTCTTTTATTTGTGGCATTTATGCAGTTTCAACAACATAAAATGAGAAAAAAACCTGTTAATATAGCATGAAAATTACTTATCAACAATAGGAGCACCATAAACGAGAACCTATCAGCAGCTGTAAAGAATTCTTAGCTTTTTTACTTTTGTAATAGACATGTTAAAAATTATGCCTCAACTGAGCCTTACTTTTGAGCTTTTGTGAATGTATGACCTACGATGAACATTTCAAGGTCTCTTGCACAAATCATAATAGAATTCATCAAACCTATAAGTTTTCAAACTTCAATATTAAATACAACTTTGATATAAAATACATAGTTGCTAAGATCTGCCAACCTAGGTGGCGATCCCTCTCTGAATCTTGCTCCTGCATTTCGGGAAAGGGATCTTCAAAGAATCTTGAACTTTTAGATTTCAGGGTATCGGTTCTCCGTGGTAAGGATCTCGATTCTTACCTTAAAGACCAAGATATTGATCAAAATGATGATTTTCAAACCAACTACCAGTGCACTATGCTTCTAATATAATTGCATTGCTTGTTGGTTATAAACAAAGCGATCCCTACTCTATGAGTATATATGATCCTCAACTACATGCTCTTTAAGTTTATCAGCAAGATCCCCAATAAGTTACCAAATGGTCAGGATCAAGATCCCTAAAAGATTGGGATTGATATCCCTAATATTTAGGTTTTATACCTTAGGAATCTATCCCTAACTTTTACATTGTATGGACAACGCTCCCAACCATGGGGATCTTTTAGCCTTTCACGATCTCCTGTCCGATTCCTATCCATTCTCGATCCCAACAGCTAGTGAGTTTACATACTAACATGTTAGTTTTTCTTTTTAATTACATACAGGCTCCAATTTAACTGTACAGTAAAGTGGACATTGATACACAAAATGGAAAAAAAAAGTCACCTCATGTCTCATGCAAATAATAATCTGTACCACTTGATCAAGAAGTAGGTTCCTTGTGAAATTTTCCATCTGACTCATATCTATACTTCATCATCTGTCCTGATGCCACATATAGCATCCTTATCGACAACAATGAGAATCAAAGGTTCTTTACCCGGATTGAGACATTCTCCCGCCTAAGACAATCAAGGACCCTGAACTGTGGACAAAGAACTGTACATTGGCATCATGGCATTCAATGAAATGGGTGGCGATGGAGAGAGACTGGAACCCTTTACTCGGGTCATGTCTTGCTTGCCTCTTTCTTGCCCTTCATGAAAAAGCCATCAGCTGCGTTCTTGTTAAACTTCCCTACCCTTACTATTGCTATTCTTACTGCTTTCCCATCTACATCATTTTCATATTTCCTCTTTAAGCTAATAAGCTTTAGCATTTCAGTATATTGGGGTTCTCTATCCATGAATTTTACAGCTGGTGCTCTAAGCTCCAAATATCCGGAGAACTCTTTGAATAGAATAGTGGTGTATAATTTAACTAGCAAACGAAAAATGGAAGGAAATAATTAAGTGAAAATTTTGTTGAAAGAGTGAACAAGCGGAAATGCTTTCGCTTTCATGACATCAATTGATTTGATGTGTATGCGTAACCTATGCTAATAATCTTCTTATGCATTATAAGTAATGAGCCTAGCCTATGGTAGATATGGGTTATGTTTTTGCTAGAAGTTTGGAATAACTATTTCATCAGCTGAAAGCATGAAGATTGTTGGCTGCTGATTTACATGGGTTCACTGCTCTAGAATGTGGTTAGGCTGGTTTGCTGTCTTGACTGATTTTGAAATTTGATACATTGCTATGCAGTTTCTTGCTTGATACATATTATCCATTGACATGTAGTGTTTTGCACATTTCTGGAAGAAATTATTAGGTCACTCTAAAATGTGAAGTTCTGATTCCATATTAATTTCTGAACCTTGGGTGACGCGAATCACTAGGCAATTGACAAAATGATGCTTATTCCGGACATCGAAAAGAAAAATAAATTGATCTGCTTCCTATCATTTACCATGGAGGCACTTGTGGTGATTATAATGTTTGGTTATTAATTATTATTATTTTTTAAAAATTGCAATGAACATCAGTGCTGTTTAGAGGTTTATATGACTAGTTTAGGTTCTATAATGTTCTTACTGCTATAGCATATAAACTGCTAACTGTATGCATGTCAACATTTTATGTGGTTAGAATCTCATGTGAAATGGTTGTTAACATGTTTCTTTAGAAACAAACAATCAAAATATTGCTTGCTGTATTTCTTCATTTCAACAGCTATAGTGTAATTGATTTCTTCTCAAATGGAAATGCTTTTGTAACATTTTATAATTGTTACTTGCAGTGGGCCTCATGGCAGATCACACCTGTCAGTAGCGTGGCGAGTTTGACATATTTGGTGATTTGACTTCTGCTTTGCATGTAACATGGTGAAGGCAGCAAGATCGCAAGCATCAGCATCTCAGAGAAATGTTTTCCAGCGCTTTGTATTTGGTCTGAGGAATGCTGGGAAATCTGCTTTGCTGAATGCTCTGATGGAAGGTGTGTTTGCCTATACATATTCGAGTTCGTGCATCTAACACTATTGTTTTCTCTTTCTCTTTATTTTGGCATTTGTATAAGAAATGTGATTTGCTGATAATATTAAACATACAGGGCCATTCAGTGACAAATGTACATCAACCGTAGAATAGCATTTTTGGGAACATTGTTGAGCCGCAGCCTGGGGTAAGGTTAAGCACCACAATATTCATAAAGCGGTGATGCTTTTCTTAAGCTTTTATTTTCTGCAAATTGGATGATTTTGTATGTACCCTTCAATCTGATTTCAACCATCGAATGATCTTATTCAAGGATGCAATGATACTTTATTTGGTCTAAAGTTGTTCGGCATCAGTGGCAAGTTTTCAGTGGTGGGATGATATTGCATGTCCCTTTCTGTTGTTTCTTCTGTAATATTTGTATTCTTGCTATATTGGTATCGCAATTGCGGGCATTGTCTTTATGGGTTGGCTGCCAATTTGTTATACTAAGGACAATTCCCTTATCTCTACAACTAGAAATGATAGTGGACTTGACTTCCCCTGTTGCCTTGCTTGTCTAATAACAATTTGAATTTGAAGAAAGAAGAGTTTAAAATACTACTGATGCATTTAACAATTATTTCTATGACATACTAGAGAAGTCTCCTGCATGTTGTTGTTTTTGGTGCTCTTTTAAAAAAATGTAATTTTCATCTTCTTTTTCTTTTGTTATTTCCCTTTAGTGCTGTGTTGGTGCTCATTACCTAGTGTTGCCCTCTTTGGAACTAATAAGCCTCTCATTATGCAGGAGATTCCTGCAGATGGTGTTCAAAGGCAATGAGGAATTGCAGTATTTGGTATGACAGTTTTTTTTTTTATGGTATCATGTGGACTTTGATGATTTTCATTATCTTCTAAAATTAGCTATTTGTCCATTACATATTTGTATTTTGGAATGCACCGGATATTTACTATTTTATGATTTTGCTTCAAGCCTTTTCATATACGATTGATAAGTACCTAATTTTTTTTTTTTCACCGTCTTGGTCCATTTAAGCAAGAGGTAGTTAAGGCATCAAATGTGCTGATTTGTGTTGGGAAGAAAAGGGGAAATATCGGCTGGAAGGTGTGTGTCAAAATTTGAGGAAAACAATGTTTGGGCTAACAATAGTGAAGAAGACCAACTGAATGATAAATTCCTGTTGCCTGTTCTTTTTGGCATCCCAGGTGTTTTCAGTAAAAATTGGGTTGGTAGCTGAAGGTATTCTAAAAGTGACTTTGTTTATAAATAAAAAAATGCAAACTTGGCAATGAGTTCAAGGACATCTTGAGTTCTATTCTTATTATAGGTGGCAGAACCCTTTCCCACTGAACTACCTAGAAAACAAAAACAAAGTAATCCAACCTTGGAATATATGAAACTCCTGTTAAGTATTTTGATTAAACCATAATTGGGAGACAGACTGAACCCTGGAGACTTCTTACTGAATTGTCAGGCTAAGGGGAAGGGGTGGCAATTGGGTCAGACCTGGTCTGGGTCCGGGTCTGGGTTTTTGACCTAGGTGGGTCGGGTCTGAATCCAAATTATTGGACCAGGCCCGGGCCAGGTCCACGTCTGGCTTGGACCCTATGGGGTTGGGTCAGAGTTATCCCGACCCGAGTCATAATAAATTTATTTATTTATTTATCTTTAGACCCGGACCTGACCCAACCTGGTGGCGTGGGTCGGGGTCCAAGTTAGATTGAGTCGAGTTGGGGTCGACTTGGATCCAACCCGTAACGAAACTTACCTTTTTGCAATTGCCGCTATTTGGCTTTGGATTAATGAGACTTCATTTTTCTTTTAATTTTTTTCTACATTTAAAGTAAAATCCCTGTCCCTATGGCCTTGACTACGGAGTATGATGTTGTGTTTAATGGAATTTTAGACAAAAAAATAGAAATAAAACAATGAAATCATTATATGCTCCCTTTGCAAATTATAACTCTATTATGTGATTTTGTGCTTTAAAAAACCGATCTAGCTTGGGAGTCATTGATTCGGATCCAATAGGGGGACAAACCTAGTTCCTTTACAAAACAGGGAATCGGTCTAATTCACTGGGAATAGCCCGGTTCTATTCGAGAGCTAGACGACTTTGTCAAAAGAATCAGGGATTCGGGTCGGAGAATTGATGGATTCTTATCTAGTTTAAAATTTATTTTTTAATAGTACTTTTTTTTTTACCCCGAATAATTGGTATGTCAGGATTGGAATTCCCAACCCGGATCTGTCACCAAGGCTAATCCAGGATTCCGTTCTTAAAACAGTAATGTCATCATATTTGAATTTTTCATTCCAATTTTAGATTCAAATGCAATTTTTCACTTATTTTTTAAAATTATTTCTTGCCCTTTCTTTTTAGACCTAAATTTATTTAATACTATAATTTTTATTTTGCCAGTATGTTGCTTTCCCGATTTAACGATGCATACGATTTCTTTTTGAAAGTTGTTTTGGATGCCTTTCTATAAGGCCTATGAATAAAAATAGAGCTTCACCTGATAACTTCATTTCATAAACACTTCGGGCATGGGAAACTGCTATGAAAGCACTAAAATCTATTTCTACCACTAATTATAAAATTTGTAAAATTTGTAGCTCTAAAACTAATATAGATATTGCTGATCTATGATCACTTGAAAAAGGACCATCTAGATAACGTGTTACAAAAGTTTGAAATTCTTTTTTTAATTCGAGATGATTAATTTCAGGATTTTACATGAGATCTAGAATTTGGATTTACTTTTTTAATAGGGTCTATGCCTTAACCATATAAAATAAACTATATGTATATGTAGAAAATTACGATGTACATGTGAACCATATAAAGTAAATCACGCGGCTTTCCTTTGTTTGTAAGGGACGTCAGGCAAAAAAATGCCATGCTACTCATTCCAAATGATGGCTATGGACGGTGTATTTTATGGTAAGGTTTAAGAAAATGGATCAGTCACTCGGTCATCTCGAAAATCAGGCTGGATCGGTAAATCGATGATTTGGATCGGAGAATCGGCCGGATCGATCAGTTTTGGTCTAAAAAATATGTCATTTCATGATTTTTTTTAAAATTTGTGAATATTAACACGTTTCTTTGTCTGGGGCTTTGTTGACCATTCAATTTACATCACTAAAAACAGAGAGCTTGTAATCAACATGGATATAAATATATGGTCTAAAGTGGAACATACAACAATTAAAATGCAACCTAATACCAAAATGAAGCACGTATTTATTCTTTTTCTTTATCATGTTAGGGCCACTCATTGACTTGTCTCGACAATTCATCGAGTCGTTCCGTGTATGCCTTAGAATGGTTTAAACAACTTGTTATATATTTTATATAATGGTAACAACTTAATACAATTTAAAATTAGATTAGATTTTTATTGCTCTATAAAATAAGTTACTATTACAATAACAAATTAACAAGTTATTTATTAATAGGAAAAATTTATATCGAGTCGAGGCTCTAAACAATCAAATTAGAGCCAACCTAAAAAATGTCATTAGAAGAGGTTGTTTTGATGCTCAAATTTTTTCAAATCGATCATCTCAATATTAAGATGAACGGACATGAGACAAAAAAAAAATGGATTTCAAGTTTTGAAAATAGTGCATCTTGTAATGCGTTTTTTGACCAATTTTCAAAATTTTCAAGTTTTGATAGATATGCTTGATCTACGCTAAAATATAAATGTTGTTAGATTCGTTTCGGGGTCTTCTTTGGTTTGGTGAGAAAAATGAAGCAATTCAGTGTTTCGGCTGATTCGGGGGATGACTTTGGAACTTTTTTTTTTAATTTAATATAAATATATTAGATATATATATATATATATATATATATATAAATAATGCAAAAAATAAAAAAATAAAAAATACTTTTATATAGGTATTTGTTTTCTTACCGAAGCAGCCCGAAGCCTAGGCTGAAGCAGAATGAAGCAGCTCGAACCTGATTAAAGCGGCAGCACCACGCTTCTTTTCGCTTCGGTTTATGCTTAATCCGATTCGGCCTTTTTAGTTGAAGCGAAGCGAATTTGATAACATTGGGATATATATTTTAAGGCTATCATAAATATTTTTATTGTTGAAACCACATTTCTGAATGCTATTTAAAGGCGGGCTTTACTTTGATTGCTTAGAGCCTCAGCTCTATGCAAACCGCACCCATTATTAATATATGTGTAACTTACAAACATATTAATTTATAGTTACAAAGGGCCGTAACCTACTAATGGTCTCACCTACACAGGGCCCAGGAGTGGGGAGTTGAAAACGGTCCTAACTTTTGATTTTTTTTTTAATATATAGAGTGGCTGCTCTTAGGACTCGAACCCACTCTTATGCTGGCCTTTTTACCATATCACCACGTGACGGACCCTTTAATTTAAAATTACAATTCATATTAAATATGAAAATAACATAGGCTATATAACAATAGCAATTTATTAATAAAGCAATACTTTAACATATTAAATTATGCGATGTTTTAATGTATTTATAACAATAAAAGTTTTAATATAGTAATAACAATTTTAACATAATTATATTAAATAAGTTAACAACTTTTATATAATTATATTCATTCAACATAATAAGATTAACATAATTTTAATGTAATCATATTTGCATAATTATTATGACATAAGTTTAACATAGTTATATTAAGTTACTAAGATAAATAAACAATAATAATTTCAATATAATAATTCTAATTTTTGTAAAATAATTATATGGAAATTATTTTTATTTATATGTAATTAGAACTTAATTATATGTACTATCATTTTTTGAAAATTATAAAAAAAATAAGTATTTTTAAACTTTTAGTTACTTCATAGAAGATTTCATTTTTACAGACGAACTTGCCTTTCTCTTGTTTTCTATAAACAAAAGAAAGATAAATATTAATGGAAACGAAAAAGCAAGAGAGAGAAATATTAATCAAAACGTATAAGCAAAACTGAGAGAGAGGTTAATGGAAACTTAAAAATGTAATAGAAAATGTCCAACTTTGAGGTAAAGGTTGGAGTGAAAAAAGTTGGCAAATAATATCCCACAATGCAATATTGTGAGAGAAAATGGCACCACAAAAGGTATGAACCCCACGTTACGAATAAAAGCCTATGGTTCATGAGCCAAACGAGATGATAGGTGCGTATATATATGTATATATGTAAAGGTGTGGTGGGTACCACAAGTGATAATATATGCGTTTGGACAAAATGTGTTGGACTACACATTTTTTATTGAAAAAATGTTGAAAAAAATTGGGTTATTAGGAACTGGTTTTCTAGCAAAGAACCAACATAGATCGGCTGGAACCAGTTGGTTCTAGGGGACATGGCCGGATCCCAATTATTACTGGTTTTGGGTTGCTCAAGACGATATCTAATTCGGATCAGACGATTTTTATCCGAATCAACAATTTCTCAAACCTTTATTTTATGCATTTAAAGAATATCACAAGTCAATTCGTTTGTTTAAGAGCCGAAAAATCAAATCCGCCGATTAGGAGTTGGAATTCTTGATCAAGGATTTGCCAAAGTATGGCTCATAATGAAAGTGAAATCAATGAAAGGCGGAAAATGAAAAAATTGACAACACAATTCGAGAGAAATACTTTTCCCCCCAAGAAAAAAGGTATGTAGAACAAGTGACTAGCCCCTTCTCTGAGTTGGATCGATCGATTTCTCTAAACCGAAAAATTAACAGAAAAAACAGATTCTATGAGCTTGTGTAGGGTGCATATATGTATGGGTCTAATTCTGATCCCCTAGCATGCCTGGATGGCTCCAACATAAGACTTGTCTACGGTGAACAGAAAAAAAAAATAAAAAAGTAAAACATTTGAACTTTACGACACACCCAACTCTTCAACATCTAATAGCTATGAGTTATTGTGACCTCTTCGGATAAATGATCTCATAAATAATGAGACAACTCCATTAATTGTTATTGTTTCTCGTAGGACAAGAGGGCATTGAAAAGGAATGTTATAGTTTCTCGTAGGACAAGAGGGCATGGAAAAGGAATGTGTAAGGCATTGCATTTATTCCCTCTGGTAAAAGTTTTAGGAATATTTTGAAGGATTTCAAAATTTAGGATGTAATATCTCTAACTTTGCAACTAACTTGAAAAATTATTTCTTTGAAATCAATACTCTATTGCCTGAAAACAATAATACCCTACAAGTGAGATTGACATTATGGACACTCAAAATCTGATTTTCATTTATTTGAAAACAATCATTTGGTGAAACTTCGATGGATCCAAAAATTTCATATTGAAAACATCCTTGTGAGGAGCGTTTTCATCACATACAAATGTGTGCAAAAAAGAAAGAGAAAAACATGTGTGCAGTATAATCACTATAGAGTAAACTACGTGCAGTTTATATAAGACAATCAAATTAAATATATAAAAGGCCTATCAGAATGAGCTCTAGCGGCAAGAACTCCTACAGACCTTAAAATTTATTTTCAGCCCTAATTAACAAAATTATAAGCATAAAAAATAGTGTAGATTAAACACATCCATAAACACTTTAAAAATATGGAAAATGGATGATCCAAATAATATGTTATAAGATGTATTATTTTTAAGACTTAAAAAATCTCTTTTAAAATATCCATTCATTGTGATGCCCAAATAATCGGTACGGGGGTTATCTAGGGCGGCAGTATTCACAAACTCCACTGATTCAACGTGTAACTGCCTAGTTAGGCACTGACCGTTTTTGGTGATTTGGCTAGGTATTTAAAAAATAAATAAAAAAATAAGGGTTTTGTTGATAATTCATTTTTTAATTTTTTTTATATCTTTTTGGCAAAGATTGGAAAGTGTTTTGGTTACGGATATTTATTTTCTCATTTTTTTCCCATCTTTTTTTAAAAAATTTCAAAAATAACCTCGAGCACGTATCAATTTTTACTAATTTTCGACTTCATTTGAATGTACTTCTTTATTCATGTTTTACATATAATTTTCATATTTTTTTTATATTTTTTATTTTTTTAACACATTTTTAACCGGCCGGAGCCTTCACCAGTTTACGAGGTCGGTACAATTTTTCGAATACAATTAACTATTTTTTAGTGGGTTTTTGAGATGCGCTCTAAGGTGGACCTTTGTATAAAATTTTTCCTTCCCGAGTTTTTTCTTGCAAGGAAGGGAAACTTCTAGAAGAGTCCCTGTAACTAATTCACTAGTGACACTAAATAAAAATAGCAACGCCTATAATTTGTATGGGTGCAAGCTCGGCAATTAAATCTTACTAAAAGCGAAAAAATTGCCCATCTAAAACTTCCACTAAATCAGCTAAAACTTACCCAAAATAGAAAATGTACAGGGCATCTAACTAAATATTATTAGGGTTTAGGTTTAGGTTTAGGGAGCTACAGACCTATTCTAGTGACAAAACCGGCCTCCTCTCATGGGAAGTAACGGAGAGTCAAGGGGAAGAATTTAGGAATATAACAAACACATTACAATAAATAAAGGGTGAACTTTTTGTAAGGATTAGGTTTTATGAAAACAAAGTAAAGCTTCACTTTCAATCTTTATTTGGAAAGCACTTTAGGCAACATATATTTCTATTATGGTTTTAAAATTAATTTCCAACACTGACAGGAAATTTTGAAACTAATAAAATGGTACAGATCTTGTGGATCTATGAAACTTATTTTTAGGGCGAAATTGATAGTCTAGATAATTTGTTACAATATACATTATTTTTAAAGTTTGAAATCTTAATTGCTTTTCACACCCATAATGGTCAAGCCGAGATGATCGTTGTAAAGGTTTTCCAATGCTTGAATTGCAATTTTCGACGAGTTATGGATGAGACTTTTCTTGTTTTGATAGTATCAAACCATTTTCCATAATATAAATCCCTTCCATGAAAAAGTAAAAAATATTGAGGGAAAGTATTTTAGTCACAATCCATCAATGAAAATAAAAATAAAAATAATATATATATATATATACACACACGTTCAATGGATTATATTGAATACAAATGAATACAGGTTGTCTCCCATTAGGGTTTCCTTAAAAGTATGGTATATCGTATCTTCTCTTATGGCCTCCTAAATTCATTTTAGGCAATGATTATTTAGTTATTAACATTTAAAGTAATTGGAAAACCCTGATAGAGAAAGTCACCATATCCTTAAGAATAGCAAATATAACAAATGTCTACAATGCCGTTGAAGTTTCCCCACAATTGACCTTTAATCCATTTAATTGCATTATCAGGTCCACTTAAATATGTGCTAGTTAAATGCTACATGAATAACTTAATCTCATCTATCTTTTATCATTTGTTTCAAGCAATTTAAATCGTCCAAAGAAATTAATAAAAAGAAAAAATTGTAAGAGTTCATACTCCAGCAAAAATATATTATCCATCTACTCCCTTGGGCATAACTCATGCTACAAATACTTCTCTAGATCCTAAATTTTATGGATCTAATCTCCAAAGCCCAAACTCATGCTACAAATACGTCTCTAAGAAAAAATACAAAACTCGTGCTCTTTGTGTATTTAAAAATAATGATGTCCCAAGATTGCATAGGAACCCTCCAATTTTTTGAGGGAAAGATTTGGTTGTTCAATGCTTCAAAATCCAAATGTTTTCCTTGGAAATAGTCATCTAGCGATATTTAGATGAATCCCAAAATTTTGAATAGAAAATGTTTCCCAAATAGCTATTTTCCTGAGAGAGTTATTGTACATTATGACATTGAGTGAGCATGCTATATGCTTTCCCCAAAAATGTCTACCATTTCACCCATCTATCAAACCATATCGAAAATATCAACTATTCTAAGTTTTGGTCATATATCATAGAATTTTTAAATTTAATCACAAAACCTTTGTGCAATAGTAAATGGTTAATTTTTGCTGAATTTTCTCTTTTAATAAAATTTTTGGGTAAATATTATATTTTATTTTAGTTTAAAATGTTGATTTTGTGTATCACATTCAATAATTTTTTGTTGGACTTGAAGTCTAGTAAGTGACACCGTTACCACTATTAGATTTGAAATCTGAAGATCAAGAGTGATTATAATATAAAAAA